ATTTTTATTTCCAAACTGATTTTAACCAGTTCTATAGTAAGGTAACATTCCAATAGACAATATGCAAAGCTTTTTTTTCAGTTTACAGCAGTATTTATTACACAAAATTTAAGTAAAGCTTAACATGCCGATCTTGCCCCGGTCTCCCCTATATATAGATACAGATATTACGCTTATAATAGTGGCTTATTATGATAAAAAAAAAAAAATCGATTGAATACGCGAATTATTGAAGTTAAAGAAAATGTTGTTGATGAAACCTTGTTCTATTATACACGAGTGTCGATTGATAAATGATGATAACTTTTTCTTAAACAAAAAAATCCAGAAAAGAGTTATTTTGCTATTCTTGTGTGAGGGACGAACAGACTCTTAAGAAAGTGTTATTTGAAATTTTAATTATTGGAAAATTCAATCGTCTTACTTCGAGCATTTTATCAAGTTAGGCTAAAAGCCATAAAAATTATTTCCCACGGAGTTGGTTCCTTGTCGAGGAGGATCCAGCTAGTCAGTGATGTGTCATCCGGAACTTTCGATAGAGTGCTCATATTGGACGCCAGACCATTAGCAACAACCTCCTGACCTCATGGGAAGAACCCAAGAGTAATAAGAAAAGAAAACGGAAAAAACACCCGAGGTCAGTCGTCTTCCAAAGTCCGTCCACCAAAGTCGTCCTCAAGGATTAATACCGTGATCAAGAATCCAGAATAAATCCCGTGACAAAGATCGTGCCTCTTTAAGGATATCATCCCCACTTCCGTGCCTCCACACCGTAGTGCTCCTGTTACCGGACACGCTAAAGACCCAGAACAATTTCACCGAACCTCGAACATTTGATCGACGGTTATCCAGTCATCGTATAACAGATCCGACTCAGATAAAAGATATTTATCAACCCGCGATTCGTTTGTAAACTCTGTCTCTCGAACGGCCTAGTAATAATTAGGGTGAACTTTAGGCATGCCCGATATCGAGTATATCTGTATTTTCTTTGGTTCTTATTAAAATTGTTATTTGTTAGTTACTATGGAATCCGAGTGAGTCACTTCCTCGTCTCTCTCCTCACTTCTGCTCCGAAGCCCAACGTTCGCGTGACGTACAGTCGCGATTTCCGAGTCCTGAGAGACTCGGTGGTGTTACATCCTGACGTGGTGTCAAAGAGACACCGACCCTACGGTCACACACGCAACATTTGGTGGTGCCATTTATTGAAATATTTGAAGTGAAAATTCGCCACGTAATGTCTATGTTAGGATTTCGGTTTATCAACTGATCGCCTGGTACGTGTCAATCGAGTTGATGATTGTTGTAAATTTACACTGACTTCTATGACAAATTTTTCTTTTGATCTTATCTCGCACGTTTAACATGCGAGATGTGGTCTCGATATAATATTTTGAAAATACGCACAAGTGTGTCCTGCAGGAGCACATGTGCTTGTTTGAAATGTTTCTTGAAGATTTCCCGGTGATGACGTTTGACGTGCACATCCTGTGTCGAATCTGTTGCTTTATATTGAAAATCTTTTTTCGTGAATACTGGAAAGCATATAAATTAACACTCCTAAACCTGAAAAGTCTAGTAGTAAACATTTAATAGCAAACAAACGCTTTCGACCGTACTTTCGGTCTTCTTCAGATATAAAAACCAGTGAGATTCGAACAAGTGAATGCTTAGAACAAAAATTATGAAATTCTTTTCAAAAAATAGAAAAGCACAAAGGGATTTTAGAAGAATAAACAGTTATGTTTATGCATTGCCATGGCGATGGAATGATATATGTAATACATACACTTCACGCTATTTGCGAATGGGCGAGAGGGAATGAGTGATGCGCACAGGCACTGCACTAGCTCAGGGGTCGGCAACCTTTGAGTCGGAAGAGCCAAAATTACAATTTACAAAATTTCAAAGTTTTTAAAGAGCCACAAAATTTTTTCTTGCCAACAATAAATAGTACTCGCATAAATACAGTAGAGCGTCGTTTATCCGAATCAATTGGGGACTGGGGTGGTTCGGATAACTTATTTTTCGGATAATCAATTATGTACGAAAAAATATATTAATTTATCCCGTGTTGAAATTTCTCTCCGTTGCGTGTCGCTTCGCGTTGAATTTTCGTCGATGTTAAGTCTAACGAAGACTATTGTATCGTTAAAAATTATTTTTTTATTTTGTACAAACAAAATAAATTTATTGAAAAATATAAAAACTATAAAAAAATTATACTTCAGATGTTAATTTAGTATCAAAAACGTAAAATATTTGAGTAGCCCAGACATAGCCAAAGATTGCTGCAAGAAACAGTT